TTTTTTTAATTTATCCTTTATTTTTTTATATTTTAATAATTTTTTTTGTATTTCTATTATATTTTCGAATCTAAAAAATTATAAATATAAAATAAAAATAGCTATTATATTTATATATTTAATTATGGAATTATTTTTTTTATTACAAAAAATTTTAACAAAATAAATCTTTTACTTTGTTTTCTTTGATTATAATTATTTTTATATTTATTTTATGATTTATTTTCTATATTAGTTTTTTTTTCTTTATATTTACTACTATTTTTCAGACAATTGTTTTCTTTTCTTATATATTTTTATGTTTGTAATTCTATTATCTATAATTGATGTTTTTATTAAATTTATTATGATTATACATATTTTAAATAATATTTAATCATTTATTTAATTTAAATTATTCTTTTATATAATTATAATATTATTTATTAAATTTATAAAGGTTTTTATATATTTATTATAAATTATCATATATTATTTTTAAATAGATATATTTATAATTTAGATATAGTAAAAATTGTTTTTTCTTATATATTTTAGTTAATTTTCTTTACATTTATTAAGAATTTATATTTATAATTTAAATTATCATTTTTTTTAAGGAAAAATTTAGTTTTTATTTTATTAATAATATATTAAATTTACATATAATTTTAATTATAATATTAAGGATTTTTTTTAACTGAATTAAATTTATTTGTATAAATATAAAATGAAAAAATTTATTATTATTAATATATATATATATAAGAAAGATTATTTTACAAAAAAAAAAAAGAATAATTTAAACTAAAAAAACTATTTAATATGAAAAAATAAATAATGATGAAATATAATATGTTTAATTTAAATATTTCAATTTTATTCATAAATAAATATTAAAAACAATAAAATTTATATAAATAATTAATACTTTTAATATATTTTCAATTTTAAGAAATATAAAATCAATTAATACATAATATAAATAAAAAATAAAGAAAAAATAAATATATAATAAAATGAATAAAAATTAATACAATATAAAAAATAAAAACTTATAAAAAATTTTTTGAAAAAAAAATTTAATAATAATAATTAGATAAAAATTAAGAATATAAAATTAAAATATTATCTTTTTTATTAATAAAATAAAAATAAAATATATAAATAAATAAAAATTAATAAATAGATAAAAATAAATATATTTATATATTTATATATTTATATATTTATATATTTATATATTTATATATATATATATACAATAAATTTATATTATATTAATATTGCAATGTACAATCTATTTTGTTTTTAGATTTTATTTTTATAATGTCAATAATATTATACAAAATATAATATATTATAATTATAATTTCATAATAGCTACTTTATTTTAAATAAAAATTTATTTTATATTATATTTTATTAATTCTATTTTTCATATATTTAAATTTAATAAATTTTATTCCTACAATTATAAATTTTTTAACCTCAATTATTTTATAAACCATATATTTATTACATATTTAAATATATATTTTTTTGTTTTTTATTAATAAAATTTTATATTATAAGCTTTTTATCTTATTATTTTTTTTAATTTGTCTTTAATTTATATTATTGCAAACTTTCTTAAAATGTAATAAAAACCTATAAATTTAATTTAATTTATTATACTTTAATAATAATTATTCTTTATGATATAGGATAAATAATATAATATTTATCCTTAACAATAATATAAATGTATATATAATTTAACTTAAAATTCTGTTTTAACATAGAAGATTGATTATAATTTGAAAAGGAATAAATTTTTATTAATTAATTAATAAATTGAATAATTTAAATAAAAAAAATAATATAAATATATATATATATAAAATAAATATATATATATATATATATATATTTCTAAAATAATATAAAACAAAACCTTACTTTACTGTAACATTCTTTTTTTATATATATTTTTAATAACAAAAAAAATTAGAAAAATATAAATAAAATAAACATAATGACTGATAAAAATCTAAAAAACAAATAAGAAAACACCAAAAATCTCAAAAATCTTGAATGTAAAAAAAAACGAAAGAAAAAAATATATATAAGAGTAAAAAAATCCCATAAAAAAATATTTTTTTTTTTTTTTAATTTTATAAAAAAAGAATAAAATAATATATATGAAAAATGCTTATTTTGTATAAATATGAAAACTTAAAAAATCTTTTTTTAGCTTTTAAACAAAGCCTTATATTAAAAATACTCTGCTTCTTAAAATTATTTCTATACAAAAAATATAAATTAAATTTTATTAGGTTAAAAATAAACCTAATATGCCATAAAATGTAAAGATTTTGAACATTTTGATGATTAGGATGTTTATATGAAATCATTTTATTTAAAAAAAGAATCTATATCAAAAAGTAATGCACTTTTTGAGTACTATAAATACCATAAAGACGTCCCTAGAATTTTTATATAGCAAATTTATGAAACTATGAACAGGTTTAATGACAAAAAGAGAAGAATTGAATATCGAAAAATTAAGATTTTTTTAAATTTAGAAGTGTCATCTTCTTCAAGTTCTGAAAGTTCAGAAAATTCTTCTAAAAGTTTATCAAAAAGCTCTAAAAAAAAAAGAAACAGATAATGAATGTTCAAAAATGTTAGAAAACCAAAATTTATCATTAGATATTAAATAAAAGTAGTATTTATTTTAAGAAAAAGGTAAAAATATGGAAAACCTTTTTGATATTTTGCCAAAAAAATTTGAATCTTCGAAAAGTATTGAATTTTCGAATTTTTTGGAAAAAAATATTGAAAAAAATTACTTTTCAAGCGAAATTTCTATATTTTCAAACGAAATTTTTTCTGGCGAATTTTAAAATAAAAAAAATGAATTTTAAATATTAAATTTTAATATAGATTTAAATAAAAACTCTTAAAAAAATGAATTAGATATAAATTATTTATAAAAAAGTAATAAAAATTATAAATAATAAGAAAGATTAAATAATTAATAAAAAAATAATATTTTACTTAAAAAAATAAACTAAAATTAATCAAATATAAATTAAACAAACCTAAATATAAAATAATCAATTTTAAATGAAAATTAATCAAATATATATGAAAAGAATGAAAATTAATAAATTTTAAAATGAAAATTAATTGAAATTAAACGAAAATATATCAAAAATAAACGAAAAATAATCATATTTAAATAAAAATTAATTAAATTTAAATGAAAATAAATTAAATTTAATTTAAAATTAAAATGAAACTTAATAATAATAATTATTATAATAAAAGAAAATGAAATATAATAAATAAAAATATAAAAAATTTTAAAAACTATATAAATATAATAAGAATCAGAATAAATCTAAAATTAATCTTAAAAACAATAATTTTTAGCGAAAAATAACAACAAAGAAACTATATAAAAATAAATAATAAAAATATCAAGAAAAAGAATTTAAAGTGATAGATAAGAATACGTAAAAAAAATTATTAATAACATTTAAATATAAGATAAAAATTATTCAAATAATAAATGTAATCAAGATTAATTTAAAGATGATATAATGATTAATTAAAATTTGGAAAAAAGTTAAATATTTTATAAAAAAAAATAATAAATTTAAAAAATTAATTAAGAAAACATATTAAGTAGTAGAGAACTTTAAATTAGTAAATTAAAAATTGACACTTATAACAAAAAGTATGAAAGATCGAAAAGTAATTTTAATATAAAAACTAAAACTATAGATAATATAAATAATTTTTAAATATTTAATAATAATAAAATTGTTAAGAGTATAATTCCTAATTTAAAATATAATACACCTTAATAATATAATAGAATATAAAGAAAATAATAAAAAACTAATATAAATAATAATATTATTATAAATAAAAATAATAATAATAATTAAATAAATAATAATATTAATAATATAATGAATTCAATAAATAATTTAAAAGAAATTAATAATATAAATAGAATTAATAATATAAATAGTATTGATAATTATAAATATATTAATAATAATAATAATTCAAATAATAACAATATTAATAATATAAATAATATTAATTAAATTAATAATATTAATTATATTAATAATATTAATTACATTAAAAATATTAATATTTTTGATAATTTGAATAGTAATAATAATAAATTTACTCCTTAAAAGTTAAATAAACATAAAATAGAATTTTTATATAAATATGAATTAAGTAATATTATACATTAAAAGAAAAAAAACAAAAATATTTAATAATATTAATTATAATAAAATAATAATAATAATAATAATAATAATAATAATAATAATAATAATAATAATAATTATAATAATTATAATTAGTATAATAATTTTAATAATTATAATAATTAAAGTGTAAGTAGTTCTTAGAGAATTTATATTTAAACATAAAATAATAGTCCGTATACAAATAGATTTTAACTTTAAAAAAAATCTTCATCTAATGATATTTTAAATTAAAAGAATTCATAAGATTATATTAGAAATAATTCTAAACTTTTTTAATATAATAAAAATTAAAATATAGATAATTTTGCTTTTAATTAAAATAGATCAAATAATTTTAAGGAGCGATTAAGTAAAAATAATATTTATAAAGTACATTTTTTAACTAAAAACTAAACAAAAAATACATCTCCGTTCAAATAATCATGTTTAGATATTAACAATCTACAGAAAAACTCTAAAAATACTTCTATTAATATCAATTATAATAATTCTAAATAATAATAATAATCATTATAAAAAAAATTTAATTAAAAATTTTATTTTATATTGAAAAATATTTTAAAACAAATAAATTAATAATATATTTAATATTGATATAAAAAAAATTATTTTAATATTCGAAAAAAATTAATTTTAAGCGCAAAAAGCGGGCATAAAAAACATAAATCTTCAAAAAAAATAAATAAATAAATATAAATATAAATAAAAATAAATTTAAATTTAAATAAAAAAATAATGTCAACAAAAATAAATCTTCGTCCAAAAACAAAGGAAAACTACGATATAGAAGATTATAATTTTTCCGATACTGAAAATTCTTTAAAATTAAAAAAAAAACCTTACAAAAAGCGTAAAACAGTAATAACAAGTGAAAACGAGATAAAAAACACTAGTACAAGTGATGAAAGTGTCAAAACAATACCAAAAATTCCCGAAAATGAAACTGAAAATGATTCTGAAAGCGAAAACATTCTCGATCGTCTTCCTAAATCAAAAAAATCATTGAAAAATCTACTACAATAAGTAGAAAAGAAAATCTAAATATACAAATCTTAATTCTTTAAGGAGTAATATGACATAAACAACGGTAAAAAAAGCCTTATTCCCGATAATTCTATCCCTATCTGCCAAGATGTGACCAAATTTGATTTTCAAAGCCTAAAATTAGCACAAGAAAAGCACTCAGGTTAACTTTTTGATGTCATAATGATGGATCCACCATGGTAATTGTCATCTTCTTAGCCTTCTAGAGGTGTAGCTATAGCATATGATTCCTTATCAGATGAAAAAATATAGAATATGCCTATAGAAACATTATAAAAAGACGGATTTATATTCGTTTGGGCTATTAATGCCAAATATAGATTGACATGTAAACTTATAGAAAATTGGGGATATACACTAGTCGATGAAATTACTTGGGTTAAAAAAACTGTAAATGGAAAAATCGCTAAAGGGCATGGTTTTTATCTATAACATGCAAAAGAAAGTTGTTTAATTGGAGTCAAAGTATTTTTATATATTTTTTTAAATAAATATTTTTTTATATATATCAATTTCATTAATAACAATATATTATTTATATATATATATATATATATTTAATATTTCTATTTTATAAAAATTTTATTTAATTTTTTATTTTTTAATTAAGGGAAATGTATTAAATAATGATAAATTTTAAAAAAATATATCTAGTGATGTAATTTTTAGTGAAAGAAGAGGATAAAGTTAAAAGCCAGAAGAAATTTATCAATTAATATAAGAATTATGTCCTAAAGGTATTTATAAAAATATTTATAGATATATTTATTTGAAAATAAAATATATTTAAAAGGGTATTATTTAGAGATATTTGCAAGAAGAAATAATTTACATGATAATTGGGTATCTATAGGAAATGAACTTTGATTATTTTAAAAAAAATAGTGTATATATAAATATTTTTATTTTTTTGAAATAATATTATTAAAAAAAAAAAAAATTCAAATAAACAAAAAAAAATATATGATTATTATTGTTTTATTTAAATTAAATATATATATATATATATATATATATATATATATATATATATATATATTTTTATATTAACATTATTAAATTTTCTTTTTTATTTTTAAAATAATAATTAATTTTAAATTTTTATTCTTTATTATTTTTTTAATAAATATAACTTTATTTAAATAAGCTTTTTTAATATTTTTTTTTTTTTTATATATTACTATTTTATATTTATTATAATTAAAATTTAATAGATTATTTTGTTATATTATTATATAAAATATTTTTACCATTTTTTATTTTTATATTTAATATTAAATATTTTTTTATAATAAATAAAATAAAATATAATTTAATTTTTATATTTGCTTATATATGATATTTAAAACATAATATATACTTTTTTCTTATTTATTAAAATAAAAAAAATAATAAAATTAAGAATAATATATTAAATACTATTTTTTTTTTAAAAAAAAAAAAACTAAAATAAAGTATAATATTTTTATAAAATAAACTAAAACAATACAAACATTAATTTTACATAAAAAAAAGTAAAAAATGACTGAAAAGCGCCCTTCTGCTACAATTTCTTTATCCGGTAAAAACAACTTAATAGTAAAATAAATTATAAAAAAAACACATAAAAAATTAAATAAAAAAAACTATTAAACTTTTAATAAAAAAATAGTCTCGATAAATAATCAACTAGCAATATCAATATAATCCTTTACAAGATCCTCCAGGTTACAATAATAATGATCCATAAATTCAATATATTCCTTAACAACAATAACAGTAACAAATGTAAATGCCAAACCCAAGAAATGATAACCGTAATTTTTTCGAAGCAAATTTAATGTAAATAAACGACCAATTAAATTACGTAAACTCATATAATTAACAAGCAGTGACCCATAATTAAATGTTATTAGAAATGCAAGAAAATAAAATAAACAATTTAATGAATGAAGTAATAAAAATACGATAACCAAATGATTAAATAGCCTAGAAATAAAAAAAAGATCGTGATTTGGAAAATATTATGCTTTTAGGGGCTTTTGATGATGCGTTAGCAAATACGAGAAATTATTATGGAGATTATTATAATTAAAAAATTAATTAATAATCGCCGCCTCCTCCTTAATAATAAAATTATAGAAATTAAGTTTTTAGAGGCTTTGGTGAATTATGGTGGTAAAATAATTAAGATTAACCAATTTCTTAACCTTCTTAAAATAAAAATAGTATTTTTTAATAAAATTCCTAAAATATTCTATAATAAAAAAATCTACCTTATAATTAAAATCCCTAATATAATTACTCATAAAATAATTAATAAAATCCATATAATAATTTATAATAAAATCCACCGTATATCTAATAAAATCCTTATTATATGTAATAAAATCCTCCTTATATGTAATAAAATCCCCCATATATACAATAGAATTCTCCATATATATAATAAAATCCCCCATATATATAATAAAATCCCACATATATGTAACACAATCCCTAAAATATGTAATAAAACTAAGTTGGATAGAAAAATATATAATAATAATAATAAGAAGAAGTAGATCCTATATTAGAATGCGTATCTAGACAAAGTCAAATATTATAATAATTATCAGAAGATATAAACATATAAACTGAGAAAATAAAGAAATAAGAAATAGAGGAACTTGAATAAAGACTAAAAGCTGCTGAAGAAAGAAATAAATAAATATTTTTATAAGAAGAATTTGAAAAAAAAGTACAAAAAGACGAAAGCGAAGCAATGTTGAAAAAAACCATGAAATAAAATATGCCAAAAAGTGTTTTTGAGTAAATGATGGAGGTTTTTACTTAATAATTTTAACAGAAATAAAATGTATCGAAATAATAAAATATCGAAAATATAAAATGCTAATGTTAATGAGAAAATTAATGGTAGAAAATTAAATACTCAGAAAAAATAAAAACCGGAAAAAAATAAAAAAGTAAAAGTAAAAATAAAAATAAAAGAAGAAGAAGAAGAGGACGTAATAATTATGATGATTATGACAGTATTGAAGATTATGATGATTAAGATGATGATTTTTATTCGGATGAGGATGATTATTATGATGATTATGAAGATGAATATGATGTTGAAGAGGAAGTAAATTAATAGTTAACTAAAGAATAACAAATATTATAAGAAAAAAAATAAGAAGAAGAAAGAAAGAAATAAGAAGAAATGGCAAAAAAGTACAATTTATATTTAAAAATATATATGTAATATATACTATATAAAATATACTATTAGAGCTGAAATAAAAAGAAAATAAAAATTAGCTGGATTAAAATTATTCTTTATTTATTTACATTTTAATGATTATAGAAAATAAATTCTAAAGAAAAAAGCAGAAACTTATTCGAAAATGACAGAAAATATTAATATGGTTTAAGAAGTAAATAAAATTTATTATTATATTTTATTCTTATTAAAAAATAGAATATTACATAATGGCTTAAATTTGCTTGTAAAACAGGAATATATATATATATATATATATATATATATATATATATATATATATATATATATTTATATATTATATTTTTAGATTGCCGAATTAAATTTTAGTTTAGATATTATAGGTAAAAAGAAACTTTCAGATAAGGAATTAAAAAAAAGATTAGATGGAATAAAAGTAAAACAAATATTTGCTTTTTACATTTAAATAATCTTATAAAATTTATATTTATATATATATATAACAGACAAGAGTAAAATCTTTATTAGATGGTATGATTGATAATTGCTAATAATTAGAATAAGATATTTAATCATTATATTTTTTAGGATAAATAACAAATGATTATAATTTTCCACCTTAATAATATTTATTCAAATTTGAAATAAATAGATTAAAATATACTTACTTTGGATAATTAAAGTTAAAAAAAAAAAAAAAAACTTAAAATAATTTAAAAAAAATATAAAAAAGAGAAATGAAATAAAATAAATAAATAATGATTATATTATCTCTAATAATTATAAAAATATTATTATATAAAATGCTATCTAAGCCTTGGTAATTAAATCCAAAAATAAAAGAAACTCCATAAACTATACAGTTATAAAATTAATATAAAAATATATATATATATATATATTTATATAAATATAATCTTATTTATATATAAAATAATATTTAAATTAGAAATATTTAAATTATATAAACTGTAATATACGAAATATTAGTAGAATTCCTTAGAAATAGCTGCCCACCAAATTAAAATAACTAAGCCCATCTTTAATAAGACAGAAAAATAAAAGAAAGTCCAAATCCTATTTAAATTGTAGCAGATGCTATAAGTGCAGAAGAGAGAAAAGAATATTAAAAAAATGATGAACCCATTATTTTAGGGCTTATTAAAAGATCTGAACTTTCTTCTATTTTTGAAGGATATGATAATGTCGTTTGGCTTGATACTATGAAATCTACTATGTAAGGTTTGGGCGAATCTTTAAGTAAGATTGTTCAAAATACTTATATTATAGTAATTTTTAAAATTTACTAATTGAATTTTTTATTAAATTGATTTTTATTAAAAAAATAAAGGAAAAATAAAAAGATGAAACATAAATGTAAACTAGATGATAATTATTATTTTTTTTAAAAAAAATATATTTATAGTTTTTATATAAAAATAAATATATAAATTTTAATTAAAAAATATATTATTTAAAAAAAAAAAATACTAAAAATTTAAACTTTTTAAAAAATAATATGTAAAACGCAAATCGAAATGAAAACTAAATAAATATAGAAAAAACAAAAGAATTAAAATCTAATAGAATTTATCAAAATTTCATATCTTGGGGCTATAAAAACGGTTTATTAACAAATAAAGTAATAAAAATACAAAAAAATTAAAAAAAGGAAATAAAAAAAAAGATAGATTTTCCAATAGCATTTGGAAACGAAGGATTAAAAGGAGTTATAGCAACAGAAAACATTCCGGCAAATACAGTAATATAGATATATATATATATATATAAATGTAAATATATATATATATATATATATATATATATATATATATATATATTTATTATATAGGTAATATGTTGTATTCCTATAAAACTTATCATAACAACTAAAAAAATAAAAGAAAGTGAACTAAAGTAAATATATAAAGAAAATCCAGATATATTTAGCGAAAAGAGAAATTATGACGGTGAATCAGATATGGTTGCTGCATTTTTAATATACGAGAAATTGAAAGGTGAAGATTCATTTTACTATCCATATTTTTAGACTGTCGAAAAGTCATATACAATATATGACTGGACAATTGATGAGATACAAGAAACTGAAAACGATGAAATAATATCAGAATTTAATTAATATTGTTAAAATATGGACGAATGGATAATATTGCATGAAACACTTTTAAAATACCCTTAATTTTTTGACCCAAAAAAATTAAGTAAAGAAATATATATATGGAGTTATGAATTATTAATGACTAGAATGTTCGGGCATGGACTTCCCTGTTCTTTTTTAGTTCCTTTTGGAGATATGTTTAACCATAATAATGATTCAGGGACACATTTAATAATAAATAAAAAGTTTGAAAGCGATGAATTGCCTATTCATGAAGATTATAAAGTTAAAAAGAATAAAATAAATATGGAGATTTTTCCAGAAATAAAATAAGATAATAAAATATTTCCTTATAAATCTGAAAGACTTAAATTTATTTAAAAAAAGGATATTTGTTATAAGAAAATGAAAATTAAGATTTTTTAGAAAAAGAAATTATTTCATAAATAAATTCCTAAGAATTAATTTAAAATAAAAATATATAAATATGGGATATGAATTTTTTTACAACATCGAATGATGAAGATAATGAATCTGATGATTAAATAAATATTAAAAGAACTAAAGAATATAATAGACTATATGAATAAGAAATTTAAAAAATTACATAAAAAATATCTAATCTTAAAGTTAAGGAAGAATGCTATATTACAAATTCAGAAGATGAAGATAACATATAAAATGAAGAATAATCTTAATAAGACTCATTTTCAAGTTATTTGAGTGATGACATATAATGGAGATGGTTTGATGGATAAGAAAGAAATTCATATTTTGCAATATGTAGTGAGAAATAGTATTTTTAAAAAATATTA